CCAGGCTCACTTCTGTCACTGTGACCTTCACTTCCCAAGGAGATAAAGCAGCCCTGCCCAGGCTCACTTCTGTCATTGTGACCTTCACTTCCCAAGGAGATAAAGCAGCCCTGCCAGGCTCACTTCTGTCACTGTGACCTTCACTTCCCAAGGAGATAAAGCAGCCCTGCCCAGGCTCACTTCTGTCATTGTGACCTTCACTTCCCAAGGAGATAAAGCAGCCCCACCCAGGCTCAGTTCTTTCCTATAACATATCTAGGGAGCCAAAGCAGAGCACCGCCTAGGCTCTGCCTGTTGCCTCTTCTACCCTAATTTCTTCCTTTGTTTCGCTGTCCCCTGCATTAATAAACATACTTTCAAATCCATCTGGACTCATGTTTTGAAATCTTTCCTTCAAAGAGTCAAGGATCCACACACTACAGGACAGCCTGAGGCAGACCTGCTGGCGATGCAAATCCCCACTGAGTCTTCTCAATTTCAGGCACCCGGGGTCTGCACTTCAACGAGGATTCTAGACTCTCTTCCTCTGCAGTCTGTGGTCAATCCAACTGCTCCCACCAACTCAGCACAACGGGGCTGACATGTCATATTTCATAAGACCACAAACTCTTTTTAATAAAATAACCTGCCACTCCTGTAAGTGCTCCTAACAGGATAGCAGAGAAAGAGAGAGAAGACAGAGACTTCCTGGGGTCGAGGTACTGGTGGCGTTAAGATACTGAACAGAGAAAAAGAGCCATGATACTGAAGTTACGGGGTTTGCAGAAACCCCACTCAGTGCCGGCAGCGCTCTGCTCACAGCGAACGAGTGTCCCACGCTGACTGCACCTACAATGACCTCACCACAAGGGGAAGGCCACGCTATGAGGCAGCCACTTAAATGCCCGTCATTCTTTCTGTCTTTGAACCACACCAGTACTATGCAGCTCCTAGTCCTTCTGCTCCTAAGACTTCCTCCTACACAGAGCGCTCGGGGGATTGAGTCATTGAGCCGCCCAGGTTTCCCTACAGACCTCTCAGCACTAAGTGACAGCCGGCCCTTCCCCTGGACTCTGTGACCTCAGTGGGAGCATGAGGATTTAAGGATGAGGGGGACCCCCAGACAGCATGGTATCATGATCAAGAGCCACCCTTAACATCCAATTTCCCTGACAGTGTCATCAGATCCGATCTCCACAAACTGAAAAGTCTTTCAAGAGCCCATTCAATTGATCAGAGCACCGGTTACTAGGCAAAAGTCACACATTTATTCCTAAATCTCGTCCTGATTAGAAGGCAAGCTGGAGGACAGGGGCAGGATCACAGGCCAGAAATAATGAGACCCGAGTTCAGAGCGGTGCTCCGTGTTTCGGAGAGAAATGACTTCCCTGGCTCTCTGGGTGGAAGCTGCCTTTTACTGGTTCAGGCCCAAAGGCAGCTGTAGCTGCCTATAAGAAGGTCTCCTAGAAGCTGCACCGCCAGGGACCTGCTGAGCTTCTGTTTCCTCGACTATAAAATGAGAACGACAGTAAAGTACAGCAGAGGGAATCGAGTCAAAAATACTGTAATAACTATGTTTGGCACTGGAAATATCAAGGGGAACACTTTGTAAGTATATGACTGTCTAACCACTATGCTGTACAACTGGAACTAATACAAAATAGTACCGAATATAAACAGTAATTGGAAGAAATTTAAAAATTTATAAAAGCTTAAAAAAATAAAACGAGAATAGCAAGAGCAGGCTGCTTTCCACACTGGGCTGCTCTGAACGCCATGGGTCCATGTGAGAAAGCACTCGCTCCGCCACCTGCACCCTCTGGGCAGATACAGGGCACACCTGCAGGGATATCTCCCAGGAATCCAGCTCAAAACATAGAGGCTCCGAAATGCTGCCGTGGGCTCTAAGTTAAGAGGCCCTGAGTTTCTCCCAGAGAGCATGTGGGAGAGATGAGGGGGGCTAACGAGCCTCTGTGCTGTTAGAGCAAAAAGAGGGGCGAGTGGGGCATATCTGGACGGTGGGACCAAAAGAGGGCTCTTTAAGCCTCCTGTATAAATATTTGCATTTATATATATAAAAGTAAATGTACATGTATGTGTCATCTTATACATTATATATAATGTCTACTATAATGCATGTATCATATATAATTGCATATGTCATTTGTGGTATACATATTATATATGTGTACGCGTGCGTGTGTGTAGAATGACTTCCATAGGGCGACAAGGGAAGTGGGCGTAGGTAAGATGCCCGGAGGCTGAGGCAATAGTGTCAGTTCACATGCAAAGACGCAGGCGGGGAAGCACAAGCCAAGTTCAATGGTTCATTTCCTTTGGCTGAAATTTGGCGACAGTCCAAGTCTTCCTGTTCCCCAAGGGCAGGAGCCAGAATCAGATTTCTGCAGGGGAGTCTCGAGGCTGGCAGAGGAGTGGGAGGAAGTCCTCAGCAACTCCCTAGAACAGCATCTGCAGCTTGTTTTCATGGGCCGGAGAGGCTGTGAGACGTGTGGGAGGAAACAGGTATCCACTCAACAGTCTAAGACACCCTGGGACAGGCCATCTGAAGGCCTTCAGGACACTGGAATCCCCGCAATAACAATGACAAGCAGTAAGCTTAGCAAAGTGCCTGCTACCATCCAGGCCCTGCTCTAACATGCTTATATGTACTAACTCGGTTCATCCACACAGCAGCCCCATAAGGTAGGCAGTATTACCATCCCGCACCCTAAAATAGGTGGCTCCCAACTAAGCAGTGGCTGAATGCGGACCCAAGCGCAGACTGTCAGAGAGCAGAGTCCGTATTCTCAGCCAGTTCTGGGGGAGCCTGATTGAGTATATTTTTCCGCATACTAACTACACAGAACATCCCCCCTCAACGCTCTGTGGCCACAGCACTGTGGTCCTCACCACCCGGCCGCAGGTGCACTTGGGAACTACTCACCTCTTGTCTAACATGTGTCAGTGTGGGCTCTGTCTTCCTCAAAATAAGATTATGATCTGAATGGCAAGAGGTAGAAACGCATCTTGTAGATAGTCCCCAACCCAGAACACGGACAATTCTCACTCCACACTAAATGGACACTAAACAAGCTTCAAATTAATGAATCAAGCGCCGGTTCTGCCTTTTATCCATGCGGACTTTGGACAAAATATTAACCTTCTTAAACTTCCTTTTCTTAATCAGTAAAATAGAGATGATAATAGGAGCAATTCCTAGAGTAAGGCCTAGCACCATGCCTGGCACACAGTAAGCCCTCAATAAACGTCAGTTCTCACTAATCACTGTGCGTTCTCCCAGATAAAGCGCTATTGTTGCTGGTCTCCTCCTCTTGATGGCTAGTCCCTCCCTCGGCAAGAGGTCCAGTTCACCTCCCTCCAGATGACTGTCCCAGCAAAGGCTGGCATCAGAATCTCTACCCAACTCAGCTCCACTAGGGCTCAAAGGGGTGTTTGGAAATGGGAAATGTACATAACACACTGGAGAGAGACACTGGCACCTAGTGGGCTGGGCGGCTAGGATGTAAAATATCTCACATGCTCAGGACGGCCCCACACAATGAAGACTTTTCCTGCTCAGAATACTGATAGTGATCCACTGAAAAAACTACAGCTCTCCTTGGAAAATATTTATATAAGAGGGACAGCAGACAAAATCAGCCCCACAAACAGGTCAAGGTGAGCAATCCAAAATCAGTTAGGAAATCACCAGTACCTCCTTATGGCGTCCGGTGGTCCTGCAGGGAGGGGAATCTGACTGGCCAAGGCCAGAGTGTCCTGCACGGCCTCTCGGACCTCCTGCACCTCGCCCAGGGTCAGCCTGCCCATCAGGGGACTCAGGTCACAGTCCTGCCACCGGAGGAGCTGCTGCTGCAGGTCTATTTCCCTTCTCAGCTGTTGATCTTTTGCTGCCAGCACAGACATTCTGGCTTGGAGGGCTTCTATATCCTTCTGTAGAGAAAGAGAGACCAGATTTTATAAATTAGCCCTGCTCGTGGCAGACGGCTCTGCCGTGAATGAGTCGTTTAGAAGGGAGTCGCCATATGCACGGGAGCCTGAAGTTCCCCGTCCGAGGCAGGCAGAATCGGGGAGGTCTGCTGAACTGGAAAAAGCATGCCAGGTTTATATTTCTGATTAGTCAGCATAGAGAAAAGCATTCCCTCCCGAGCACTAAATAAGCATGGGGCGGGGAGACAGCAATTTGACTTGAAAGAACCCAGCAAATATATAAATGACTGACTTCAAGTGGAAGAGCCAGAACATAGGGCAGCAAACACCATGTACTGGAGATACGAGCTAAGCAGGTAACCCGAGCCACAGATCAAAAAAGAAAAGCACACCCGGCCTGCGTGGCTCAGCGGTTGAGTGTCGCCCTAGGAACCAGGAGATCACGGTTTGATTCCCGGTCAGGGCACAGGCCCGGGCTGCAGGCTTGATCCCCAGCAGGGGGTGCGCAGGAGGCAGTCGGTCAATGGCTCTCATCATCGATGTTTCTCTCTCTCTCCCTCTCCCTTCCGCTCTCTGAAATCAATAAAAAGAACCATATTTTTTTTAAAAGAAACAAAGAAAAACAAACAATCCTTGGTTGTTCTGTCCCCAAACATGAAAATTTAGCGCGTAGACAAAGAACATAAATCGTGGCTTCCTGAGTCTACAGGGTTGAAGGAACAACGAGATGCCGCAGACAGTGTTATGCCACCTAAAGTTCATAAAAATATTAAATACATTTAATTTCCACTAACATAGCGAACCAAAATCCAAAGACCTCGGAGAGCACTATGCAGCCTTGAGGTCAGCGACTGAAATGAGCAGCAGGTAACAGAACACCCCCTGTGGGCCCCGTCTCGCAGCAGATCATCTTGCACTGGGCTCTGAATTTAAATGAGACTCTTTTAATTAACATCCTTCCCCGGTCCCGGCATTGGTTTCCGACTAGTAAGAGCGCAGCTCTAAGCCTGGGGTCCCCCATCTCCTACCCCTGTTCTCTCAACCCCAAGGTCAGATCACCTGCACCTCCACCTCCTGACCCTACTTCCCGTCGGCCGGGAGGGGGAGGCTGAGGAACTGCGGAAAATCCACCGCCAAGACTCCCAAGAAGACAGGGACAGCGGCCCTGACGCGTCTCCCGACTAACCTCCCACTCCCCCTTGACATCCCATGCCCTATCCTGTTCTTTCTTCATTTCCTTTCAGTTTCAGTTTTTTAAACTGGGGTAAAATCCATGAAACATAAAATTTACCACGTTAACCATTTCTCAGTGTCCAGTTCAATGCAATTCGCATTGTTGTATAACCATCACCACCACCCGCCCACAGAGCTCTTTTCATCCCAAACTGAAACTCTGTCCCCATCAAACGCCAGCTCCCCATCACCCCCCTCAAACCCTGGCAACCGTCATTCTACGGTGTCTCGACAAACTGGACTCCATTAGGGACCTCATACCAGTGGAATTATACGGTATTTGGTTCTGACTGGCTCATTTCAGTTAGCAAAATGTCCTCAAGGTTCATTCATGCTGTAGCCCGAGTCAGAATTTCCTTCCTCTTTAGGGCTGAGTAATAGTCCATTGTATGGACGGACCACATTTGGTTTCCATCTCTTCGCTGTCGTGAATGCCACTGCTCCAGACACATGCCTCTGAGTCCCTGCTTCGACTTCTTTGGGGCATGAACCCAGAAGTGGAACTGCTGGCTCATGTGCTGATTCTATTTTCAACTTTTTGAAGAATCATCACACTGTTTCCCACAGTGGCCTACACCCTGTTCTTAACACAGAAGCCAAAGTGGCTCCCCATCCAATCAGAGAAAAGCCCACGTCCCTACAAAGGCCCACAAGACCCTACAGGCCCCTTTATCTCTGAACTCTCTAATCTCTCCACCTGGCCTCCTAGCTGCCAGGGAAACACTGAGGCCCATGGGACTGCAGCCTCCACACGACCGTCCCCTCTGCCCAGAACATGCTCATTGGGATTTCTGCAAGGCCTGCTCCCTCTCCTCTTTCAACGGTTTGCTTTAATCTCACTTCTCAACGAGCAGACCCCAACCATCCCCCACTCCCCATCGCCTGGGTCTGTGCATTGTAGCTCCTACCACCTACAAAATACTAGGTATATAATTAGGTATTTATTATGTTTGTATCTGGCACATGGTAGGCACTCAATAAACACCTACTAAGGGAAGATCAACCTTCCCCCAGAGTTCTGCCGAGAACACTCTCTTCAAACACTAAGTCCCCGGGGCAAGAATTATTTCTGAATTCAGTGGCATCGCCTGAACTATGCTGACCTTTCATTGGTGCATAAGCCAAAACCCAGGTCTCACATGGTCGGCCAGCTGTCCACCCTTTGCAGTGACGCTCACTGAATATATAAGTGCTCAGTGTATTGGAAAACCTTTTCCAATGTGATGACTTCTGCTTCCTGTGCCCCCTTGTAGGCACCTGAATGGGCAAACTTGGACAACAAGAATGCTCTGCATGAGGGGGTGGGGAGGGGGGTGTCCAGTAACTTGCCCAAGCTCCCATGAACTTGTCTAAGTCCATTCCGCTACTAGGAGCCCAAGCGGGGGTTCAGACCTGGGTGTTAAAGCCCTATGCCCTTTCCAGAAGTCAGACTGCCTCCAATCCATGTTTCCTCACTGCTCCCCATTCCTGCCTCAAGCCTCCAGGCTCCAGCAGGTGGGGATTCAGCTGCCAGGGTCCCTGACTCTGGGGCGGCCTATCAACTTCCAGAGCTCCTGATTGCCGGCCCCCGCCGCCCCGATTTAGCTCAGTGTTTCCACTAGATTTCCAGGCCCCGGTGACCCATCCACTGTTCAGGCCACCCACGTGACGCCTGCCTGTCATTCCCAGGCACGCCTGCTTGGCCCCGTCCATACTCACAAGTCCACCTCCTAACAACTGCTACTCGCAGTCCAGCTCGACAGGAATTTCATGATTTCTTTCTGCCTCGAAAAGCACCTTCTAAAGGTCAAGATGATAAGAGGTGACAAATTGGCCCGGCAGGCGGGGAAGCACACTCAGAGGTAATGAGGGATATCGAACAGGCACAAAGGCGGCTGAGTGGCAGCCCCTCGTTTGTAATGAGACTCCTACGAGCCCGCTGTCATCTCCACCGCCCCTGCCCCTGGTACTCACGGTGGACAGCCAAGCGCTAATCGCTACTCAAGCAATAGCCACTTCGCTGCATTTGGCCCAAGTGGGTAAGAAAAGTGCCTCCTGGGTCTTGAGGGTTCTTCACCCGCTTACCTGCAGCTGCTGCTTTTCCTGAAGAAGCCAGTCTCGCCTGGCGATGGACGCGCACAGGTTGTCCTGAGCACTGGGCTCCACTGTGAGCAGGGCCTGGGTGTCCTCGCCGCCCGCCCTTCAAAGGAAACATGCACGTTGGTACAGATCCGGAGAAGCCGAGCCCTCGGGGCCACAAGAATGCCAAGGGAGAGATTTCACAAAGTGGCCCCAGCTGTTCTCATTTTAGGAGGGTCATAGGGAGAGGTCCCTAAAGTAAGTCTCCGTTTTAATTAACCATCTGTTGGGACTTTCGCTTTTCGCAGAGCCAGCATGCTATACTGCACCTGCCGATCATGAAAAACACCAGATTTTAAAGATTTTGTAAGCAAACAGAGTGCAAAATACCTCATTGATATTTTTACATTCATTACATGTTGGAATAATATTTTGGATATATTGAGTTGAATTAAATATATTCTTTAATGCTTTTTTTTTTTTTAATGTGGCTACTAGGTAATTTAAGATCGTGTTCGTGGCTTGCATTATATTTTACTGGACAGCACTGCCTTTACCATCCAGACAGAGCCAGATTCCAGGGCTGACCGAGTTGTGCAGAATAAAAAGAGGCCTGGCTGACATGCAGATGCTGGCGTTGAAGCTTCTCAGAAAGGTTTCGCTTAAAAACTGTCAAAGCCACTTGAAATCCGTTTGGCTCTTTCTCTCATTCTCGCAGGAGTTGGCATGTTTGGTTAAAGCCATGCGGATGAGACGAGGTCCAGCCCAGAGCTGGTGAGCTGCTTTACAGAAGTTTTCCAGGTAATCATCATCCAAGGATGACAAATTCATCCTGCGGATATTTGATTTCTAACTCCACGCAGTTAGCCCAAAAAACTGTGCCCTAAACAAAACTATGTCAACAATTCAAGGAAACCCCGTGTAAGAAAACACCGCAACTGAAGTTAAAAGGCATTCGGTAAGTTGAGGAAAATATCACTGATGTGACAGAAAAAGGAAAATCTTGATAGTTTCAAGAGTTCTATCAAGTCAAGGAGAGATGAGCTCATCTATCAGAAATTTCTTAAAAAGGGATTACAAAGGTTAATTTATAACCCTCTTTTGTCATCAAAAATGGCTTTAAGTGCAAATTCAAGCAACATAAAATATCACTTTTCACCTAACAAACTGGTAATTTTTCATAAACCATAACTCCTTGGTGAACATGGGTAATAAGAATTAGACTTAAAATATAGTACAACTTTGGATCTTACAGTCCCACTTTTAAAAATTCATTGTATATAAATAATCATAGATGTGCACAAAGATTAGGTACAAAAATACCACATTTTTCCGCAGTGGCCAGAAACTGAAAACACTGCAATTTTGGCCCAAAATGAGGATGAGAGCAGTAGACCGTGGTGCAGCCACCCCGAGGACAGCACAGCCACTAAAATTGGGTCAAAGAAACTATAAAGGCATGGAAAATGCTCACTATACATTGCTATTTCTTTAATTGATTTTTTAGGGATAGGAAGAGAGAGACACATCGATGTGAGAACACAATATCGATCACCTGCCTCCTGCACGCCCCCCACCGGGGATTGAGCCCACAACCCGGGCACGTGCCCTGAGCGGGAATCGAACCGGCAATCCCTCGGGGTACGGGGTGACGCCCAACCAACTGAGCCACACTGCGACAGAGCTATATATTGCTATTTTTAAAGCAGGTATTATAGTAATATGTATATTATAACTATTATAAAAATATCATGTGTAAAACAGAAGATAGAAAGGCATCCGCCAATCCTATCACTTCTTATCTCTGGGTGTGGGATGACTTCTTTGGGCCCACCTTTTATTTTCTAAGTTTTCTGAGCAAGTACTGTTTCTATAACTGTAATAAAAATGTTTTCTACCACATACACTAAGCAGCTGCACGATTTACTCAAATATTCTAACACAACCAGCCTGTTATAGTCCTTGGACAAAATAGACATGTCTGTGTTGGAAATAAACCCCACCCATATGTTGATGGTCAAGGGCATCTTCTCTGCAGAGAGCAGGTGTCGATAGCTTCCGACGGTCTGAGGCATGAGCTAAACCCATGCCCTCCTCCCCCGAAGGAAGCTCCTGGCACACAGCCGGACCTCGGCTGCCACACCTCAGGGCTCGTCAGCAGAAGCCCAGCACTGCCCCTTCTCATTTGCACACTTGCAGGGTCTCACCACCTCCACATTTCTCAGAAAAGAAAATGAGTGGCTGACCCTAATATATGTTGTGCTTTGTTCATCTCCTTTCACTTCTAACCCATTTCCTTCCTTCCTTCCTTCATTCATTCAGAAAAAGGAAAAAGATTATTAAGCTCACCTACTATGTGCCACGGCCTGTGCTTGGGTGCTAGGGACACAGCCGTAAACAGATGTGGGTCCTGCACAGCGCGGGGGACAACTCACCAACGGGAAGATGCAGGCCGCGGGTAAATGCTCCACCCAGGCTCGAACCACCACCGTAGGAGCTGAACGGTGGAAGCCGCCCTCCCACGTCCTAAACCCTCACCACGCACTTCAGTGAAGCAGCCCTAATATTTTTAGAAACCATGGTAGAAAATACGTCGCTTGGCTCTTCTAAGTTAGAGCAGCAGCCACAGGAAAAGGAGCCTGGCCCGGATTCCTGGGTTTCTCTGAATCGTCTTAAAAATGCTTACTCGCTGCAACATCCCACACTTTAGAAACTTAAGGGCTGTTACTCTCTGTTCCACGTGCTTCAAGGCAAAGAACAATAGTAACGGGAAACATTTTACACTGACACTGACAACAGTCAAGTAAACGCGCATGAACTGAGCATTTACTGTGCACCTGACACTCATTTTCACCGCACTCGCTTCTCAGCGCAGGCCCAAGGGGAAGAGCTCAGCGCTGCGGGTTTATCAGTGAGGGAACCGTGTCAGGGAGGTGAAGGGACGGGCGCCTCGCCACTCAGAGCAGTCAAGGGGTGAGGGCCAGTGATGCGTGCGGCTGATTCCGCAGCCACTCGGGTCCCCGCAGGATTGTAAACGGTTTCCCCTGCTTCCCGGCCTGTGCGCCGCACCCGCTAAGTCCCTGGCTCTGTGCTCAGCGGGGGCAGCTGAGAGCGGCGGGCAGGGCTGGGCACCAGCGGGAGGAAACAGCCACAGCTCCAGCCGCAGTTCCTCCTTCAGGCCGTGTGTCCTTGGACTTACCAAACCTCTCTGAACCTCACCAGCCTCATTTTTAAGATGGGGAGGAGGGTGGTGACGTGAAAATGGCTGCAATTTATTCAACAAATGACCACCGAGCACCGACTTGCGCAGGCCCTCTTGCCCGCTGCTTACCGTCCCTCCTGTCGCAATGCTTACACTGGGCAATGAGGGCTGTGCTCAGGTCCAGTGGGCACACTGACCTGTACAGGGTGACAAAGATTATAGATGGAATGTTTCCGAATGGGAGTTCCTCAACAAGTTAAAAATGGAACTGCCTCGTGGCCCGGCAATTCCACTTCTCGGTATTTATCCGAAGAAATCCAAAACACTAATTTGAAAGGAAAAATGCACCTCTGTGTTCATTGCAGCGTCCTTTACAATAGCCAAGACATGGAGGCAACCCAAGTGCCCATCAACAGGAGGCTGCATAAAAAAGCTGGGGTACATGTACGTAATGGAATATTGCTCAGCCATAAAAAGGAATGAAATCTTACCATCTGAAACAGCGTGGATGGACCTCGAGGGTATTACGCTAAGTGAAATAAGTCAGACCGAGAAACACAAATACCCTATAATTTCACTTACATCTGGAACGTAAAAAACAAAATAAATGAACAAACTAAACAGAAACAAACTCATAGATGCAGAGAACAGATTGATCGTTGCCAGATGGGAGGGGGTTGGTTGGGGGGGGCTGGGTGAAAAAGGTGAAGGGCTTGACAACAAATTGGCAGTTACAGAACAGTCACGGGGATGTAAGTACAGCACAGGGAATAGAGTCAATAATATTGTAATAACTAAGTATGGGGCCAGGTGGGTACTGGAAATACCAGGGGGATCACTTTGTAAAGTATATGATTGTCTAACCACTGTGCTGTACACCTGAGACTAACACAAAATAATACTGAATGCAAAAAATATATTTTTGATTTTATAAAATATAGACAGTTTCTGAGGATCTTTTGGTGTATCAGAAGAGGACATCTCTGGAGCGGAACCATCTTCCTCTATTGACGTCTGTGGGAACTGGATACGCTCCCTTCTCCACCCCTGGGTCTTGCCTGTTCATACAGCCCCTCGCTCTGGAGGAGAGAGGCTGGGCCATCTCATGATGTTGTCTCCACTGAGCAGGACCTTAGCAAATATTTGTTGAATGATTTAATGAATCCAGGTCCTAGAAAATCCAGAACTCGTTTATATTCAGCTCTCTATTGCATGAGATCACTTCTTTGCACAAATTTATTTCCCAGTTTGCTCTGCTTATGCAAATATTAAGTTTCCTGAATTTCCTAAATAGATACCATCTGGGTCGGGATGGGAGCTGTTGAAGGAAATCAACATCTAATTGAAATTAGCTAAGAGGAGCTACAGGTGGGGAACTGGGAATTCTCCCTATTATGGTTAATCACATTCATTACTTAATCCACCAGGAAAGCCCCTGTGATTAACCAAAACTCCTCCGTCTGTCTCTCAGGCTTTGACTCGGGTACAGAAAGCCATCCACAGGTGGCTAAGCGACGCCCCAGGACACGTGGCAGCTCAGTAATGAAGCAAGGGACCTGTTTCCATCTTTCCGACCTTCTGTCCTCTGAGCCCTGCTGCCTCCTCCTTTGACAGTGCTGTTCCCTTTATATTTAATGTTCTCAACTTGTAATCCCCAGTGTCAGTGCAAATTAGCGGTGCTGCTGTAAACTAATCAGTATGTAAAGCAAGCACATCCCTGGAGCAAAAATTAAAGCAGGAGGGTGGGATGTTATAGCAGCACTCAGGGGGCCGGGGACTCGGGGTGTCTCGGACCCCAGGCTTAGACCCGAGGTGGCACACAGGCCCCCACCTGGGGCTGCCCACTGCTGGAAAAACCCTGGCCTTTCTACTTCTGTCTTTTCTTCCAGTCATTTGTAAAATAAGATCCCACAGCCCTG